TTAAATCCTAATTTAAAACAGACCTTCAGTCAAAATAATAGAGAGTCAAAACATCATATACACATAAGCTTTGGACACTATTCAACTTCAAGGGTTATTCTTTGGTCCAAGGAAGGATGTAACTATTAAGCTATCTTGTGCTTTTATTCTGTTCTCACTTATGAGGGGTACATATAGGACCTTGGTTTTGGAGGGTGACAGCTGTGTGCTTTGCTGGTATTTAACATACTTTAACTGCCAGGTTTCTTCTTTCCTTAGTTTTTCAATGATGCCAAAGAAGCTACTGATTACCTAAGGAATCTAAAAGATGCCATTCAGCGGAAGTACAGCTGTGATAGATCAAGCAGCATTCACAAGCTAGAAGACCTTGTTCAGGAATCAATGGTACTAATACAAAACCTATGCATTTTATAAGTATGGATAAGTGATTAGATTAGTGTTTTATATGAGCAGAACTTTGTATTTTATTGGCACTCTTGATATTTCCCACTAATTCAATTACACATTTGCACATTCAGTTTTAGTATTCTTTTGGCAACAAATACAACAAAAGTGTTTTTTTATGTGATAGCTTTGATATTTTAAGATGGTTTTATAGTGGGGTGTGTGTGTGTGCGCGCACGTGTGTGTTTAGTCATTCATTCTGCAAATACTTTTTAAGTTCTTAATATATCCTGGGCACTGTTTTAGGTTCTAGAGCTACAGCGGTGAACAAAGCAGACAAGAATCTCTACCATTGTGCTTACATGCTAGAGAGGGAGTTAGACAATAAATAGGATAAATAAGTAAAATTTATATAATATGTTAGGTAGCGTAAATGTCAAAGAAGAAAAAGAAAACCAAAGAAACCAAAGAAAGGAAGAGGGATACAAGACAGGGTGGAGGGGGAATGATTGAAAATTTAGACTAGGTAGTCAGAGAAGACTTTTCTGATGAAGTTTAATTTGTGTGAAGTGCTGAAGGCATGGAGAGTACAAGTCTTTTACTTCTTAAAATTCACTGTATTTATTACCTAGGAAGAGAAAGAAGAACTTCTGCAGTACAAAAGCACTATAGCAAGCCTAATGGGAAAAGCAAAAACAATAATTCAACTGAAGCCAAGGAATTCTGACTGTCCACTCAAAACTTCTATTCCAATCAAAGCTATCTGTGACTACAGACAAATTGAGGTACTTGCAACTCCTAGAAACAGACCAGTTTCTGTCATTATTCATATATTTTGTAAATGAGATCATATTGCTAACTAGTGATGATTTCCCCCCTCATAAAACAAAAAAAAATCCCAGGATTGAGTATGGAAAACAGTTAACAGTGACCTCATTGAGTTACTCTGCTCTTTATTTAAAATCAGATAACCATTTACAAAGATGATGAATGTGTTTTGGCGAATAACTCTCATCGTGCTAAATGGAAGGTCATTAGTCCTACTGGGAACGAGGCTATGGTCCCATCTGTGTGCTTCACCGTTCCTCCGCCAAACAAAGAAGCGGTGGACTTTGCCAACAGGTTTGTATATATTAGCTGAAAACATTGATCTAGTTTTGGGGGCTCTCTGAAGGTTGAAGAAACAATTAATACTTTGTCAACGCCCCACAGGATTAGAAGTCTCTAGAACTAATAAACATGGAATATTTCACACAGAAAGAAAAATTGCAGTGTGTTTTCAGAGGGAGTAAAAAGATTAATCTAAGTTCTTTTTCATGTATTTCAGAATTGAGCAACAGTATCAGAATGTCCTGACTCTTTGGCATGAGTCTCACATAAACATGAAGAGTGTAGTATCCTGGCATTATCTCATCAATGAAATTGATAGAATTCGAGCCAGCAATGTGGCTTCAGTAAGTGTGAATCTATATGTTAACCCAATATGTCCAAAAATGTGCGTGCCTTTTCATATGTGTGGTGGTGTTTGTGTTTGCTGTAGAATAGGATGGAGTCCGGCAAATCCATGCTAATATTCATTTATTCAGTGAATATTTGTTATATGCCCACAGCATATAAAGCACTTTTTAAGAATTGAGGAAATCCGGAAATCATGAATTTCATTCAGTGCTTACTGTGAGATAGGGAGACAGAATGTAGTTGTTGGATATACAATGATGGGTACAGTTGATTGCATTTATTGAGTTTTGTAGACTTGTTTTTCTTTGTTGTTAAAATAGTTGGCTGGGTGCGGTGGCTCATGCCTGTAATCCCAGGACTTTGGGAGGCCGAGTTGGGCGGATCACCTGAGAGGTCTGGAGTTCGAGACCAGCCTGACCAATGTGGAGAAACCCTGTCTCTACTAAAAATACAAAATTAGCTAGGTGTAGTGGCGCATACCTGTAATCTTAGCTACTCTGGAGGCTGAGGCAAGAGAATTGTTTGAACCTGGGAGGGGGAGGTTGTAGTGAGCCGAGATTGCGCCATTGCAGCCTGGGCAACAAGAGTGAAACTCCGTCTCAAAAGAAAAAAAAAAATTAAAATTGTTAATGAAAAAGACAGTTAATTTCAAATGTTTCTATTTATGATTATTCGTTTAGATTGGCATACACCATACAACCAATTTGAAGTGTATCCCATTCAAATCTGTTAGTAATAGAATGAATTACATGAGTCTTTGGTCTTCTTTAGATAAAGACAATGCTACCTGGTGAACATCAGCAAGTTCTAAGTAATCTACAATCTCGTTTTGAAGATTTTCTGGAAGATAGCCAGGAGTCCCAAATCTTTTCAGGCTCAGATATAACACAACTGGAAAAGGAGGTTAATGTATGTAAGCAGTATTATCAAGAACTTCTTAAGTCTGCAGAAAGAGGTAAAGCCTGGGGATCCCCGTCTTTTTTTCCCCATAGGTGTTTAGTTCTGGCTAATTTTTGCTCTCAATGGGAATCTCAATCTTAGGTATATAGTATCACTCAGCCTATCATGTGTAGACACAATTTCTGGAACAGTAAAAGCATATTTGAGGTAGGAAGACTCAAGAAGGGATTTATTTGTTTCCAAATGATGAATTAATAAAAGGTGCCAACCAACTGGTTGGACAAACAACGAATTCTTACTTTTCATCATTTTCACTATTTTGCAATCCTTCAGTTTCAGAAAAGATTCAATTATTTTCCCACTTACCAAACTTGGATTTTATACAAGGATTAAAGCAAAAGGTTTTTGCCTAGTTAACTTTTGTTAGATAAAGATTTTATTTTGAACTTTTTTGATTTTAGAGACAATTTTATTAGTAATATTCTATTTTTAAAAAATCTTAAACATTGAATGTTGTTCACCTACTTTTTACTTTTAAGGATTTTTATTTGATTTTTGTAATTAATCTGTAGCTAATATAATTCACATTTTTGTGAACGTAAAATAGCAACATATTACTTTGGACAGCATTTAATCAGAAATTGGTACTTCAAATGGCATTTGGGAAATTTTATTAATTCTTCTTAAATTTTAAGATTTATGTTTTAAGATTTATACCTTTAGAATGGGTTTGTGATGAAAACAGGAACCATTCGCTTGACTAGCTATGTCCCAGTAATAACAAAGTTGTCATATTAAAACATAAACAGAAGCTTCTAAGAGATAGAAAACAAGGTATTTTCTAAACATTATATTTATTTTCACAGAGGAGCAAGAGGAGTCAGTTTATAATCTCTACATCTCTGAAGTTCGAAACATTAGACTTAGGTTAGAGAACTGTGAAGATCGGCTGATTAGACAGATTCGAACTCCCCTGGAAAGAGATGATTTGCATGAAAGTGTGTTCAGAATCACAGAACAAGAGGTGAGAGCTATAAATATGTTGGGAAAAAAACTAACTCTCTTAATGACCTTATGTATCATCTCTTGTGACTTCTTAATGTTCAGTTTTGTACACTCACACTAGCCAGTCTAGTGTGAGGTGAGGTCTGATTATGTAATTATTGCTGATTATAAACTAGGATTCAGTCTACCTCTGACTCAGGTAAACATGAGAATATGTACACACTCACCTTCATTGTGATGAAGGACATAAGGACTTGTAATAAAAGTCATTATACACCTGCTGTGTGCAAAAGTACTAAGATGTTGAGCCTAAGGAGATGAGCAGTAAGGGAATTATTGATTGTAAAACTTGAATGCCATGGCATGGTTTCTTTGATAAAAAGCAAAGAATATGTATATTTCTAAGTCATTGGTCTTAATGTGAAATGTGTGTTTTTAAACTAGTTTAAGAAAAACACCTAATCATAGGTGATGGCCTGATACCTTGGTTTGTTCTCTGTTCTATAGAAACTAAAGAAAGAGCTGGAACGACTTAAGGATGATTTGGGAACTATCACAAATAAGTGTGAGGAGTTTTTCAGTCAAGCAGCGGCCTCTTCATCAGTCCCTACCCTACGATCGGAGCTTAATGTGGTCCTTCAGAACATGAACCAAGTCTATTCTATGTCTTCCACTTACATAGATAAGTATGTAACTGCTATCTCAATAAATTGCTTCATACAACTCTCATTTTTATTTACTATTAATTTAAAATTTTATTTTTATTAATATAAACATTACATTTTATTTTGTCTTAAGAAATACATTATTGGCTGGGCGCGGTGGCTCATGCCTGTAATCCCAGCACTTTGGGAAGCCAAGGCGGGTGGATCACCTGAGGTCAGGAGTTTGGGACCAGCCTGGCCAACATGGTGAAACCTCATCTCTATTAAAAATACAGAAGTTAGCCAGGCATGGTGGTAGGCATCTGTAGTCCCAGGTACTTAGGAAGCTGTGGCAGGAGAATTGCTTGAATCTGGGAGGTGGAGGTTGCAGTGAGCCAAGATCGCACCACTGCACTCCAGCCTGGAAATACATTATTTTTATGGAGTGATGACACTTCTCTATGTTGATAGTGGATGTGCTTCAGAGATTAGCGTGTAATGTATGGTCCTCCCACATTTTGCGTGTAATTTGGGTAGCTCAGCAGTTGTAGCCAATGAATTTTCGTCTCATACTTAAATAAAGTTAGAAAGAAACCATCTTATGTTGCAATCTCTTGCTGAATACCACTTTTGGGTCAGGGCATGGGTTGGAGCACATACTCTCTATTAAGAAGAAAGCCAGAAAAATGTTAGTTTCATGGTAAATGTATCAGTGTTCCAAGGTGAAGAACATGTTATGTCATGTGTCATAATGGTGCTTCAGGACTACATTATGCAAAAGTAAACATTTAACAATAGGTGGCTATTGTTTAATTTCCTTTTTAAGGTTAAAAACTGTTAACTTGGTGTTAAAAAACACTCAAGCTGCAGAAGCCCTTGTAAAACTCTATGAAACTAAACTGTGTGAAGAAGAAGCAGTTATAGCTGACAAGAATAATATTGAGAATCTAATAAGTACTTTAAAGGTATGAGACTCACTTTTGGCTATTTTTAAATATCATATTCTACAGGTATTTCTCTAGCACTTAGATCTTCAAACATCAAGCATTAAATATCTTGGATTTTTGAATGGATTTATTCCATTTGTGTCTCTCTGATCTCACAGCTTACTCTAAATAAGTATGTTCAATCATTTTAGCTTGAGGAGAGTTCTCATTTGAAGTTCGAACCCTTTTGACAGTAGCTTTTGATAGTCAATTCATGTTGGTAGGAAGAGGAGTTGAAGCTAAAAATTAAATTATTTAAATTATTTGTAATAGATAACTTGCTAAAAAAGAAGTTAATTTAAGCTATCAAGGAGGTAAATAGAAAAGTTAATCTGAGAAAGGAAAAAGACTTGTAGTTCAACTCATCTATATGTATTTCTTTAGCAAGTGTTGAAACTATTGCAAATCAATTTTTGAAAGTTATGTCAGTGATTTTTAATGCATGTATTCCTTTTTAGCAATGGGATTTGTAGGCACTTAAAAGCAGACAATGAAAAAGACTTACTTTATTATTGGAGGTAGCAAACTTGCCTATGGAATATATTTTATTTTGTTGATATACAAATTTTATTAGGCTGAACTTTAAAATTGTCATTAAAAAATCAGAGTACAGTCAAATATTGAAAATTTCGTAAAGTTTGAACTAATGTAACATTTTGTATATGAAAGTATATACATATGTATATGTATATATGAAAGTATATGTATATGAAAATGTATATTTTGTATATTTTTATAACTTTTACCAATTAATGTATTTTAGCAATGGAGATCTGAAGTAGATGAAAAGAGACAGGTATTCCATGCATTAGAGGATGAGTTGCAGAAAGCTAAAGCCATCAGTGATGAAATGTTTAAAACGTATAAAGAACGGGACCTTGATTTTGACTGGCACAAAGAAAAAGCAGATCAATTAGTTGAAAGGTGGCAAAATGTTCATGTGCAGATTGACAACAGGTTAGTATCCATTTTTGTTCAGTTTTAGCACAGATTTAATGTCTATCTATGGTAAATGAGTAAAATCTAAACATGAGGCTATGTTTTTTACTTCCATAGTTAATTTGTTAATTACAATACCTCCACTTAGCCATATTTCTTTCTTTCTTGGACGACTTTAGTAAGACATTTAACTTCAAAATAAGCATTTTTTTCAACTCTGTTTCTATTCGTATATTCTAGCATTTATGTAGTTAATCTGCTTGCCTTTTCTGAAGGAAAAAACAATGTAGTTCTCTAATTATTACCAACTTATAATATTCAAATAACCATGACTTAGTAAGAGCATGAAGCATACATGTGATAGGGCTGTGTGTAGCTTCTATACTGGACTTAAGAAATGTAAATAAATGGAAATGCCCTGATGTTCATTTTAATTGAAGATACAAGAAAGTCAAAATCATTTCCTCAGTTACTGAATTAAAAAAGATTTTAGGGTTCATCTTAAAATAAATGAATTTGTGTCCTTTCTCATTCATTTTCATGCTTATATTAATGCAAATAAAATGCTTTTATGATACAGTGCCATTCTCAAAAAATAAAATTATGTTCAAATATGTGTTACCTCTGTAACAAATATGATGCATAGGTTTAATGTGGTAGTTTTTAAAATCATAGAGACAAGTATGTAATCACAGCTTCTGGAAAATACTCTCTGAGACCATGTTGAACCATTCATTGAACTACCTTATTGTTATTTCAAAACTGAACTGCCATTTGATGCAAGCCTTACTATTCAAGATACTGTAATTGATAATAATTATGGTTAAGTTTCCACTTTTCTTGCTTTTTAGCTTTAGCCTCTTGGGCTTGTTCTTAGAATAATCACTGTCACTAAATTGCACAACTCAAGGAGCAGAATGTTTATATTCAACCCAAAGCCACCAAGGAATGCCCTTGGAGGTGTGTCTCAGGGTGCTGCAGCCTTGAGTTCTTTATACATACCCCTCTTGTGCTTAGTGCATTGCAGTCCAGTTATTTTGTCTCTCCCATCTCTACATCTTCCACCCTCCTGATGGATATTGTTGGACACTGTGACTATTCCGTTACTATTCTCTTAGGTTACGGGACTTAGAGGGCATTGGCAAATCACTGAAGTACTACAGAGATACTTACCACCCTTTAGATGATTGGATCCAGCAGGTTGAAACTACTCAGAGAAAGATTCAGGAAAATCAGCCTGAAAATAGTAAAACCCTAGCCACACAGTTGAATCAACAGAAGGTATGTAAAAATAACTCCCTCTACTGAAGTTATGTTTGCATTTGGTCAGTCATGCTCCTCATCTTCCTTTCTTATGTTAAATGAAAAAGTCACCAACTCTTTAGAGGAAGGTGGAGAGTATATCAAAAATATTAAAATCTTGCAACCCAAACCTACATACATGACTTATTTTTATTTCTTGGAAGTAGTTTTTGAAAGCATGAGTAATCCAAAAGTGGAGAGTGTTGGGATAGTTTTCAAATTCCTGATGATAATTTATTTAATCATAGGTATAGAAATCTCTTTGACACTTTGCTGGCCACAGTAGTTTTCTGGGTTCCTAAATAAGTAAAAATGGTTATCTATGGAAAATTAAATACCACATTTGACAGAAAGTTTGAATGCTTTGCGATTTTTATTCTATCTTTAGGGGCCAGTCACAGATAGCTCTTTTTTTTTCAGGAATAGGTGGTGGCCAAGGGCATCGAGTCTGCTTTTGGATAATTCCTAAGGAGTTTAGTAATTTCTGCTTTGAAAGCCACATGGGGTGGGTCACTTCTGTGGCTTAATCTGGAAGTTTGTAATTTACCCATAAGGCAAGTTGCATATTAAGTACAAAGGGCTAAGGAGCTATACCGTGAAGTGGTATAGATATGTCTTAGTTACTGAGCATCTTATGTAGTAGAATAGCTGAATTCCTTGTCATTTTTCTTCTAAACTGTGTATATTTATAGATGTTGGTGTCTGAAATAGAAATGAAACAGAGCAAAATGGACGAGTGTCAAAAATATGCAGAACAGTACTCAGCTACAGTGAAGGTAGGAAGATTCATTCACTTAAGTAAAATTTAATATTCAGGTATGTGATTCTACATGTACTTTCAAAGCCATGCAAGTCATTTCACTCAGTGTTAAAAACTAAAAAGAATCTTCATTTGAATTTTTTTGACACTTATCTAATAATTCTTTGTGAAATTAGTCACATGATAGCCCCCCAATTCATTCATCTTCTTCTCTCTCACATGTGTACACCCCTGCCACTCCCAGCCACCACAATAATTAGCTCTGTAGTTGGTTTCTTATCACTTTTCTCTCTTTCTTTCTTCTTTAACATTGTTAGGGTATTTCATGGGAGAACTTCTAACTTTCTCACTTAAGGGGACATTTTTCATGCTTTTCAAGTTATCATTGATAACTTTTCAGTTTTAGCCTTCCAGATCCATAGTTCCATTGCTTAGCCAGGAAAGGGGGGCTGCATAGGGCTACACTATTGTTACCTGTATTTCCATGAGCTTCCAAACAGACTTGGGAAATTACCTGACCACCCTACATGTTTCTGATTTTGTCCCCATCTTGGAAGCATCTCCAGGATTGGATAGATTACTAAAAATGTAATTTTGCAATACAGTCATGTGTTGCTTAACAAAGGGGATATGTTCTGAGAAATGCGTTGTTAGGTGATTTTTTCATTGTGTGAACATCGTAGAGTGTACTCACATAAACCTAGATGTTATAGCTTTCTACACACAGGCTATATGGTACAGCCTCTTGCTCCTAGACTATAAACCTGTACAGCATGTTGCTATACTGAATAGTGTAGGCAACTGTAATATAATGGTATCTATTTGTGTATCTAAACATAGAAAAGGTATAATAAAAATAGGGAATACAATATAAAAAATGGTATATCTGTATAGAGCACCTACCATGAATGGAGCTTGCGGGACTAGAAGTTGCTTTGGGTGAGTTAGTGAGTGAGTTGTGAGTGAAGGTAAAGGCCTAGGACATTACCGTACACCTCTATAGAATTTATAAACACTATACACTTAGACTATACTAGTTTATAAAAAAATTTCTTCAATAATAAATTAACATTAACTTAATGTAACTTTTTTACATTTCAAACTTGTAGTTTTTTTAACCTTTTGACTCCTTTGTCATAACTCTTAGCTTAAAACAATGAACACATTATACAGCCATACAGAAGTATTTTCTTTCTTTTTATCTTTATTCTGTAAGCTTTTTTCTGTTTTTAATTTTTTGTTTGTTTTTTGTTTGTTTTTTTTTTTTTACTTTTTAAACGTCTTTGTTAAAGCCTAAGGCACAAACATACACATTAGCTTAGGCCTATATAAAGTAAGGATCGTCAGTATCACTGTCTTACACCTCCAAATCCCACGGGAAGGTCTTCAGGGGCAATCACATGTATGGAACCATCTGCTCCTATGATAACAATGCCTTCTTCTGGAATACTTTCTGAAGGACCTGTCTGAAACTGTTTTACAGTTAACTTTTTTTTTTTTTTTTAAATAAGTAGAAGTACACTCTAAAATAACAACGAAAAGTGCAGTGTGGTAAATATATAGACCAGTAACATAGTCATTTATTACCAAGTATTACATACTGAACATAATTGTATGTGCTATACTTTTGTACGACTGGCAGCACAGTAAGTTTGTTTACACCAGCATTGCCACAAACATGAGTAACGCATTGTGCTGTGACATCACTAGGCAATAGGTATTTTTCAGCTCCATTATAATTTTATAGGGCTACCATCACGTATATAGTCTGTCCTTGACTGAAATATTGTCATGTGAAACACGACTATATTTTCTGTATTTAAACTTAATTTAATGAATCTAGGTTCTAATGATTTGTGTCAAATCACTAAAGTTAATTTAGTGAATCTAGGTTCTAATTATCTGTGTTAACTTAATGCAGAATGAAACTCTAGTACTTTGCTTCAATTCATTTTATTTTATTGACTCCTTTATACAGGACTATGAATTACAAACAATGACCTACCGGGCCATGGTAGATTCACAACAAAAATCTCCAGTGAAACGCCGAAGAATGCAGAGTTCAGCAGATCTCATTATTCAAGAGGTAATAAAAGTATGACAGAAAGAGGGAAAAGGGCATAAAAGAAAGAACACTTTCTTTTTGAATTTTATTTTTTATTGTGGTAAAGCATACATAGTATAAAACTTGCCATTTTAACAATTTTAAATGTACAGTGTAATGGCATTGCAGTATATCACAATATTGTGCAACTGGTACTACTGTTTATTTCCAGAACCTTTTCATCATCCCAAACAGAAAGTCTGTACCCAGAACAATACATTCTATTAAGGGTTTTTAAAAACCCTTGACGAATTTTTATTCAAGATTAATTATTAACTATAGAGATAAATAAATGTACTTCATGGTGAAATTTAGAAGAGAATTATCATTTACTATGATTTGCACAATAGTAATAAGCTCCTTCTTACCATTTATTATGGGGGAGTTGTGTGTTTTGCTGTCTAAAAGCCTAGTTAATGTAATTATTATTCAAAATTCATTCAACTTATTAAGAGTTATGGAGGTAATGCTTTTATTATTTTTTTCCTTACTTGCAGTTCATGGACTTAAGGACTCGGTATACTGCCCTGGTCACTCTCATGACACAATATATTAAATTTGCTGGTGATTCATTGAAGAGGCTGGAAGAGGAGGAGGTAATCATTAATAGTGAGCAGCCTGTAAATATAAAGGAGCTAGAGATGAGCAGTAACTACAGTATAGTTTGGGACAGCAAAACGTGTTTCATGATAAATTTATGTGGCTAGAAGCAGATGTACAAATAAATATTGAATTATAAAATTACAGTGAAAATGAGTGAAGGCCTAGGATTTTAGTTTGTCTTTAAGATTCACTCAAATAGAAAGTCATTTCATTTCATGACTTTACATTTTCACTTCGAGACTCTAATATGGTGGGGTTAATGTCTTAAATAAATTATGAAATTTTGGCAGTTTGGCAGAATATTTTTCAGCTTTCTCACAGCTGAGAAGTATACTTCTTTGAAGTATAGTTACTGCTGGTATGATGTCTACAGGAATACTACATGAACACTTTTGTCTTAAGCATCTTAAATTAATTTGTATCTCAAGTTAAAATTATTGTACATAATGTAAAGATGCTAACTTAAAAGTAGTAGATGTTTTTACAAAATGATGATACTTTTAAGAATTTTGGAGTTTTGGTTTTTTTTTTTTGCAAAAAGATACAGCACATAGCATTTAAAAAGGCTATTTAAATGCCATTCTGATTTGGAGAACTTCTGCAGCCTTGATTCTGCATTTAAAAATTATATTCAGAAATAGGAAGAGTAAGGAGTTATTTATAAAAATCAATGGTCACCAAAGGCTCTTGTATCTAATGTAAGAGGGAGTATGCTATGCTTTATTATCTTGATATACTTTCTATTCCCCAGAACAGACAAAAATAGTAGAATGAATGTTGAAATAAATAAATTGTGGGACATTAGCCATTTTAAATTGGACTTTATTGAAATTCTAAAGGTGATTATGCTTAATGTAACTCCGTTCATATGAGAGCCGAAACAGCAGTAAACATCTATTGGATGTTACTTTCTCAGTTTCCTAAAAATGTGACCACTGTTATAAACTATTTTAGTCTGTTCAGAGTTAACAGTTTTCTGCGGCTAAATCACTAACATAGCTAATTGCAAGACTTTATAACACTCTTCCTTTGTGCTTAAGAGAACCAGGATATTTGTGACTATCTTAATTGCATGCGTCTTTCATCTATGAAAGAACATCCATAATTTTCTTATATTTTTAGTTTTTGAGAGATCTTATTCCATTTTAAATGGTATGCAGATCTTTTAAATTGTATATGCAGTAGTTAAATATAAAATAAAATAAGTTCTTTTCTTATAGTACGTATCTGATTATACATATATGGGCCACTTACTTGATTTATCTGATGAAGCAGAATACTAGCAATTGATAGAAACAAAGAATATTTTAGAAGGCCGTAATTGAATGCAAGTTATTATTGTCGTCCTTAAAAATGTCAAAGATTTATAATTAATTGAAACCAGCAAATATGGTTATAGAAGAACAAGCGAAGGCTATAATTTAAAATAGATTTAAAAAAACTACCACTTAAGATTACATTAATGGAATGTCATGTAAAAGATACATAGCTCAATTTTTAGACTCAAAAGATTGGTGTTTCTGCAACTGAGGTTTGAAGACCCACATGAAAAACCTTGGTTTAAAGCAGAATTTTCTATAATAAACATAAAATCAAAGATTGATGCAAGTTAATTTCAGAAGTAATACTGATTTAGTTAAAAGAAATGTTACTAAAAATATCTGTAATAGATATTAGATATGAGAGAGAGATTCTTTAGTCTGCTGAGAACAAAATATTCAAAGTATTAATCACTGTGATTAAAGGGCAAGATTGAGGAAGATTTAGATAAAAGTTAAGGAAGTTATTTTTATACAATTAAGTTTGAGATCCACAAGAAAGCAAGTCAGCAATTGGACTAAATTATTTCTAGTAATTTTTCTCACATATGCTAAAAAACTCAAAGAGTTATCCAGACAACATGATTCTTTTTTTTTTTTTTTTTTTTTTTCCCGAGACCTCTGTTGCCCAGACTGGAGTGCAGTGGCGCGATCTCAGCTCACGGCAACCTGCGCCTCCTGGGTTCAAGTAATTCACTGCCTCAGCCTCTTCTGAGTAGCTGGGATTACAGGCGCCTGCCACCACGCCGGGCTAATTTTTGTATTTTTAGTAGAGATGGGGTTTCACCATGTTGGCCAGGCTTGTCTTGAACTCCTGACCTCATAATCCACCCACCTTGGGCTCCCAAAGTGCTGGGATTACAGGCGTGAGCCACCACGCCCAGAATAGATTCTTAACAAATCCCTGCATTGACTAATGAAGACATTGAGTGTTCAACAACAGGTATTTTCTTTCTGAGGGAATTTTTAGTTTTTTGAAATCTGAGCATGACCAAGAAAAAGAAATGGCTCAGAATTTCTTAGCAATAGCTAAGTTTTAAAGGAGGTTTGATAAAGAACTGAGACTGTCTTAGAAATAACCTCCTCAAGAAATATTGAAAACTTAGTATTTAAATAGATAAAATGCTCACGTGTCACAGGATTGACCCTGATACTAAAATAAAGAAAATAGAGTATTGGAGATAACAGGTTATGAGATTTGTTTCTGTATGAATTATTATTAGAAACCTTATTTAGATTAGCAGAGAAAACGACTGAAATTCTCATCAAAATTATTGGAGATCAAGAAATTAGAGGAAGCAAAATAAGATGTGTGGTCTGTAATAGAAATTAAATTCTTGAAATTCACCAAAGCTTCTCAATGAAAACAAATCTGTCTGAAATAATTTCTCTATTCCTGTTTAAATTATTTTATGGTGATCTTGAGTTGATGATACAAAACTAACAACACTAGAGTATTAATAAAGAGAAATTAAATTGTAATTGTAAACTAATCCTGATCATGTAGTTCTGTAATCAGTGTAAAGCATACTCCTCCCAGCTGACATTGATTCTGTCCCTAGAAGAGTAAAAAAATTTTCTTATAATTTTTTCTATACATTGGAGCTGAATCCCTAAGTATATATTTAAAAGCTATTATACTTAACAAATATCTTTATATTTATGGAGTATTTAAAGGTACTTGTCAAAGTGATTCATATGAGGCATGTTATTAACAACAGCAACAAAATCTCTGAGTATATGAAGCACATCTTTTCCAAAGCCATCAGGACTGTAGCTGCCTTTGCATTAGCAATTCTGATGATTATAATTGTCATAATATGGCAAGTATAAACAAATAAGGGATCTGACTTTACAAATTTCAAGTTATTATATAATTTTCCTTCTTCCCCATGTTATTTCCTAATTTGGCTCTGTGTTCTAAAATTCTGTGCTTTGCTTTTTTAACCATAAGACATGGGAATATAAGTATCATTTTTAAATTTCTATCAGGCTAGAAAACGAAATTCTTTAGCATCATTTGGTTCCTATGTGTTGGGTGTTCTTCCTACCTCTTAGGATTATGTTGCATGCAAGAGAAGAAAGGGCACCGTTGTGAGAGTTTTATTTCCCACTTTGTCACTCACCCAATGTGAGTTTGCAGAATATCTATCTTCCTCATTTCTTCCTTTCCTCATCTGTTGTAAGTTCCCTTCTTGCTATAAAATTCTAAGCTAGCTAATTTTTAAAATAAAATTATTCCTGAGGGACAAAAAGATATTCTTCAGAAAACCTGTCGTGAAGGATTTTTTGTCCTCTACTGCTGACTTTCTGAAGCTTCCTCTCTGAAGAAGGTGATGCTGCTGGTGGTGGTGGTGATAGCACTTGTTCTGCATTTGAGTTCACTTGGTTTTGTAAGTACTTTTATGAACATTGATTCATACGTTGTAAGCTATTTTGAACAGAACAGGCTTGACACTTTCAAAATGTCTCTTGTAGCTTAAAAGGTATAAGGAGACTTCTGAACATGGGGCATATTCAGATCTGCTTCAGCGTCAGAAGGCAACAGTGCTTGAGAATAGCAAACTTACAGGAAAGATAAGTGAGCTGGAAAGAATGGTAGCTGAACTAAAGAAACAAAAGTCCCGAGTAGAGGAAGAACTTCCAAAGGTCAGGGAGGCTGCAGAAAATGAATTGAGAAAGCAGCAGAGAAATGTAGAAGATATCTCTCTGCAGAAGATAAGGGCTGAAAGTGAAGCCAAGCAGTACCGCAGGGAACTTGAAACCATTGCGAGAGAGAAGGAAGCCGCTGAAAGAGAACTGGAGCGGGTGAGGCAGCTCACCATAGAGGCCGAGGCCAAAAGAGCTGCCGTGGAAGAGAACCTCCTGAATTTTCGGAATCAGTTGGAGGAAAACACCTTCACCAGAAGAACACTGGAAGACCATCTTAAAAGAAAAGATTTAAGTCTCAATGATTTGGAGCAACAAAAAAATAAATTAACGGAAGAATTAAGAAGAAAGAGAGACAATGAGGAAGAACTCTTGAAGCTGATAAAGCAGATGGAAAAAGACTTTGCATTTCAGAAACAGGTAGCAGAGAAACAGTTGAAAGAAAAGCAGAGAATTGAATTGGAAGCAAGAAGAAAAATAACTGAAATTCAGTATACATGTAGAGAAAATGCATTGCCAGTATGTGCGATCACACAGGCTACATCATGCAGGGCAGTAACAGGTCTCCAGCAAGAACATGACAAACAGAAAGCAGAAGAACTCAAACAGCAGGTAGATGAACTAACAGCTGCCAATAGAAAGGCTGAACAAGATATGAGAGAACTGACATATGAACTTAATGCCCTCCAGCTTGAAAAAACGTCATCTGAGGAAAAGGCTCGTTTGCTAAAAGATAAACTAGATGAAACAAATAATACACTCAGATGCCTTAAGCTGGAGTTGGAAAGGAAGGATCAGGCAGAGAAAGGGTATTCTCAGCAACTCAGAGAGCTTGGTAGGCAATTGAACCAAACCACAGGTAAGGCTGAAGAAGCCATGCAAGAAGCTAATGATCTCAAGAAAATAAAGCACAATTATCAGTTAGAATTAGAATCTCTTCATCATGAAAAAGGGAAGCTACAAAGAGAAGTAGACAGAATCACAAGGGCACATGCCGTAGCTGAGAAGAGTATTCAGCATTTAAATTCACAAATTCATTCTTTTCGAGATGAGAAAGAATTAGAAAGACTACGAATCTGCCAGAGAAAATCAGATCATCTAAAAGAACAATTTGAGAAAAGCCATGAGCAGTTGCTTAAAAATATCAAAGCTGAAAAAGAAAATAATGATAAAATCCAAAGGCTCAATGAAGAATTGGAGAAAAGTAATGAGTGTGCAGAAATGCTAAAACAAAAAGTAGAGGAGCTTACTAGGCAGAATAATGAAACCAAATTAATGATGCGGAGAATTCAGGCAGAATCAGAGAATATAGTTTTAGAGAAACAAACTATCCAGCAAAGATGTGAAGCTCTGAAAATTCAGGCAGATGGTTTTAAAGATCAGCTACGCAGCACAAATGAACACTTGCATAAACAGACAAAAACAGAGCAGGATTTTCAAAGAAAAATTAAATGCCTAGAAGAAGACCTGGCGAAAAGTCAAAATTTAGTAAGTGAATTTAAGCAAAAGTGTGACCAACAGAACATTATCATCCAGAATACCGAGAAAGAAGTTAGAAATCTGAATGCGGAGCTGAATGCTTCCAAGGAAGAGAAGCGACGTGGGGAGCAGAAAGTTCAGCTACAGCAAGCACAGGTGCAAGAGTTAAATAACAGGTTGAAAAAAGTACAAGATGAATTACACTTAAAGACCATAGAGGAGCAGATGACCCACAGAAAGATGGTTCTGTTTCAGGAAGAATCTGATAAATTCAAACAGTCAGCAGAGGAGTTTCGGAAGAAGATGGAAAAATTAATGGAGTCCAAAGTCATCACTGAAAATGATATTTCAGGCATTAAGCTTGACTTTGTGTCTCTTCAACAAGAAAACTGTAGAGCCCAAGAAAACGCTAAGCTTTGTGAAACAAACATTAAAGAACTTGAAAGACAGCTTCAACAGTATCGTAAACAAATGCAGCAAGGGCAGCACGTGGAAGCAAATCATTACCAAAAATGTCGGAAACTTGAAGATGAGCTGATAGCCCAGAAGTGTGAGGTTGAAAACCTGAAGCAAAAAATGGACCAGCAGATCAAAGAGCATGAACATCAATTAGTTTTGCTCCAGTGTGAAATTAAAAAAAAGAACACAGCCAAAGACTGTACCTTCAAACCAGATTTTGAGATGACAGTGAAGGAGTGCCAACACTCTGGAGAGCTGTCCTCTAGAAACACTGGACACCTTCATCCAACACCCAGATCCCCTCTGTTGAGATGGACTCAAGAACCACAGCCATTGGAAGAAAAGTGGCAACATCGGGTTGTTGAACAAATACCGAAAGAAGTCCAATTCCAGCCACCAGGGGCTCCACTTGAGAAAGAGAAAAGCCAGCAGTGTTACTCTGAGTACTTTTCTCAGACAAGCACTGAATTACAGATAACTTTTGATGAGACAAACCCTATTACAAGACTATCTGAAATTGAGAAGATAAGAGACCAAGCCCTGAACAATTCTAGACCACCTGTTAGGTATCAAGATAACGCATGTGAAATGGAACTGGTGAAGCTTTTGACACCCTTAGAGGTATGCTCTGTGTTCTGAGACCTTATCAGCTACCTAATGTCAAGTTTCTTCATTTGTTTCCTTTCTCTCCTAGACTAAATTTTTAAAACAATTTTGAATATGATTGGCTCTTTGTAGTTCTGACAGAAAAATAATGCTATACTTTTTCTGGTAACTTACTTGAATCTTTATTATAAATTAACACTTTAATTTTTGAATGTTTGAGATTAAACATACAGATGTAATAGATATACTGTTATATCTGTGGAGATACATTTTGAAATATGTGACTATCAAAAAAGCTAGAAGTACCAAGCAGTTAGCTTTAACTTCTAACATATTCTGTGGCTAGATTTTTGTCTTAGTCTTTAAAGATATAATTTTAATACCTTTAATTGTCATCTAAGATAAAATTCAGACTCTGAAAATAATATAATACTTATTCCTGAACCCTCCTTCGTTTGAAAGTTTTCTTCTTTTCACTAATCTCATCTTTGTAATTCAAAGAATTATGTTTGGATTGAGAATGAGTAAAGTGACATAATGTTCTTGAGTTGACTTTTAACATTTTATAAATTCCTGTTACAGATAGCTAAGAACAAGCAGTATGATATGCATACAGAAGTCACAACATTAAAACAAGAAAAAAACCCAGTTCCCAGTGCTGAAGAATGGATGCTTGAAGGGTGCAGAGCATCTGGTGGACTCAAGAAAGGGGATTTCCTTAAGAAGGACTTAGAACCAGAGATCTTCCAGAACTTTGATGGTGATCATGCATGTTCAGTTAGGGATGATGAATTTAAGTTCCAAGGGCTTAGGCACACTGTGACTGCCACGCAGTTGGTGGAAGCTAAGCTTCTGGACATGAGAACAATTGAGCAGCTGCGACTCGGTCTTAAGACTGTTGAAGAAGTTCAGAAAACTCTTAATAAGTTTCTGACGAAAGCCACCTCAATTGCAGGGCTTTACCTAGAATCTACAAAAGAAAAGATTTCATTTGCCTCAGCGGCCAAGAGAATCATAATAGACAAAATGATGGCTTTGGCATTTTTAGAAGCTCAGGCTGCAACAGGTTTTATAATTGATCCCATTTCAGGTCAGATATATTCTGTTGAAGATGCAGTTCTTAAAGGAGTTGTTGACCCCGAATTCAGAATTAGGCTTCTTGAGGCAGAGAAGGCAGCTGTGGGATATTCATATTCTTCTAAGACATTGTCAGTGTTTCAAGCTATGGAAAATAGAATGCTTGACAGACAAAAAGGTAAACATATCTTGGAAGCCCAGATTGCCAGTGGGGGTGTCATTGACCCCGTGAGAGGCATTCGTGTTCCTCCAGAAATTGCTCTGCAGCAGGGGTTGTTGAATAATGCCATCTTACAGTTTTTACATGAGCCATCCAGCAACACAAGAGTTTTCCTTAATCCCAATAACAAGCAAGCTCTGTATTACTCAGAATTACTGCAAATGTGTGTATTTGATGTAGAGTCCCAATGCTTTCTGTTTCCATTTGGGGAGAGGAACATTTCCAATCTCAATGTCCAAAAAGCTCATAGAATTTCTGTAGTAGATACTAAAACAGGGTCAGAATTGACTGCGTATGAGGCTTTCCAGAGAAACCTGATTGAGAAAAGTATATATCTTGAACTTTCAGGGCAGCAGTATCAGTGGAAGGAAGCTACATTTTTTGAATCCTATGGGCATTCTTCTCATATGCTGACTGATACTAAAACAGGATTAAATTTCAATATTAATGAGGCTATAGAGCAGGGAACAATTGACAAAGCCTTGGTCAAAAAGTATCAGGAAGGTCTCATCACACTTACAGAACTTGCTGATACTTTGCTGAGCCGGTTAGTTCCCAAGAAAGATTTGAGCAGTCCTATTGCAGGGTATTGGTTGACTGCTAGTGGGGAAAGGATCTCTGTACTAAAAGCCTCCCGTAGAAATTTGGTTGATCGGATTACTGCCCTCAGATGCCTTGAAGCCCAAGTCAGTACAGGGGGCATAATTGATCCTCTTACTGGCAAAAAGTACCGAGTAGCTGAAGCTTTGCATAGAGGCCTGGTTGATGAGGGGTTTGCCCAGCAGTTGCGACAGTGTGAATTAGTAATCACAGGGATTGGCCATCCCATCACTAACAAAATGATGTCAGTGGTGGAAGCTGTGAATGCAAATATTATAAATAAGGAAATGGGAATCCGATGTTTGGAATTTCAATACTTGACAGGAGGGTTGATAGAGCCACAGGGTCACTCTCGATTATCAATAGAAGAGGCTCTCCAAGTAGGTATTATAGATGTCCTCATTGCCACAAAACTCAAAGATCAAAAGTCATATATCAGAAATATAATATGTCCTCAGACAAAAAGAAAGTTGACATATAAAGAAGCCTTAGAAAAAGCTGATTTTGATTTCCACACAGGACTTAAACTGTTAGAAGTATCTGAGCCCTTGATGACAGGAATTTCTAGCCTCTACTATTCTTCCTAATAGGACATGTTTAAATAACTGTGCAAGGGGTGATGCTGGCTGGTTCATGCCACTTTTTCAGAGTATGATCATATCGGCTACGTATGCAGTCTGTGAATTATGTAACATACTCTTTCTTGAGGGCTGCAAATTGCTGAGTGCTCAAAGTAGAGTAAGTTTTAAATTGAAAATTACATAAGATTTAATGCCCTTCAAATGGTTTCATTTAGCCTTGAGAATGGTTTTTTGAAACTTGGCCACACTAAAATGATTTTTTTTTTACATAGAATATGGGATAAACTTGATGAACTCCAAGTTCACAGCATCATTTCTTCAGAACTCCCCTTCATTGAATAGTGATCATTTATTAAATGATACACTGCACTCACTGAAAGAACATGTCATGAAGCACCGTGGAATCAAAGAGAAAGATAAAAATTCGTTCCCACAGCCTTCAAGCTGCAGTGTTTTAGATTGCTTCGAAAAATGAAAAAGTTTTGCCTTTTTCTGTATATAGTGACCTTCTTTGCATATTAAAATATTTACCACAACATCTCATTTCTAGTTAAGTCTTTGCACTTGAAAGCTAACGTTATGAATATTGTGTGTTGGAGGAGGGGAAGGATTTTTCTTCATTCTGTGTGTCTTCCTTATGTGTATAGTAGACATTCTGTATTCTATCAGCCTTCTATGATACCTTTTTGTCAGTACAATTATGATTGTAATGCTAATGCAAAGGCAGCAATTCAAAGATCTTCTAGTGCTTCATGAATAAAGTTGAGATTTAAAATTTGTGACATTGATGGAATAGCTGGGAGGTTAGACCAGTCATTAAGGAATGTATGCCATAGCTTTCTTTGCTACCATAAACATTTTGGAGGTGCATCTGCTATGTGAGATGGCAAATATGGTTAAGTGAATGAATAAAATGTTTTAGTAACCTGTGTGTGATGAAAAAAAACATTTTTACGTTCTTGTTTGCTATGGAGAGGTCAGTTTAATAGCTAAGTCATTTAATGGAGTGTATATTTTTCTTACCGCTCACAACTGTCAGAAGTCACTGGAAGAAGAAAAGAAAGAGCATGTTGAAAAAGCCAAAGAATTGCAGAAATGGGTATCAAATATCAGCAAGACATTGAAAGATGCAGAGAAGGCTGGGAAACCTCCCTTCTCTATGCAAAAGGTATTCACAGAAGTCCGGGTTTAACAACAATAATATCAGAGATGTTAACTGAGTTGACACAGTTTACCTAGCACAATGTTTAATTTTTACCTTAGTTTTCCCATTGTTATAGGCCACTATAATGCAAATCAGAACGATTAAATAACTTGCCCAAAGAATCAAAGTTAGTGTGTGGCAGAAGAAGCCGTTTAATTCCAAAGCCTGAATGATACATATTGTTCTTATTTTTTAGTAAATGAATTCAGTATACTGCTTTTCCTAATAGTTAGGTCTGCTTCCTGATTATTACAATGAGAATAGCTGAAGAGCATAGTCATTCTGTTGTATGTCTAGAGTAGATCCAGGCACTCCATGTCATAAAGATATGTCATCTTATTCTTACAGATGTAAACATAAAAAGTTTCAAGAACAATGAAAATACACACCAGGATATTAACATTCTTGATTATTGATTTTAGTTGTGCTTTTCTGGGTCTTTTCCATCTCATAAGGAAGTGTCTACAGTCAATCACTGGAAATTCTAGATACCATCTTTTATCCTAGTGAATTCTTTAGTCTTAATGGGCTATCTTCTGTATCCCAAATGCTTAGTGTTATGTTGGATGGCCACAGCTTGGGAGATGTCCCTGGTATCTATTGGACTGTACCACTTGAAGCTCTTAGGATGTTGGTAGTTGGGGTGTAAATTTTAATACTGCTGCTGCTGGCGATAGCAGTGGGATTGTTACTGTATTAAAAAAATAAATTTCCGCTAAGATAAGAAGGATTTTTCTCAAGGAATACTTTCCTACACTGCCCTCCTGCTCTTGTCTGACATTTAGAAATTTCAAGGGCTATCATCCAATCTTAATATTTAGCTCCCACTTTATCTAGCTCTGCATCGGTGTTTGTCGTCTATTAAAATAGACATTGTTGATACGACTAAATAGGGGAAAGCATCAGTGACTTGTCTTATTTTGGCTGTGATATGAGGCAAGTGTTCCTTATTTGAGGTTCTTCCTTGGAGAAGTTTACAGACCAGAGTATATACTTGAAACGTTGCTCAATTGAAATAAAGTATTCACTCATCGTCTTACATACTATATATGTGAGATGTGGAAGATATGTGGGAGATGTAGGAAAACACTTGCATTTGGTGCTTTACACCAAAAAGCTTCAAGTAATTTTAATACATATATTTCATGTAAAATATCCTTTTCCCTTTTTTCCCCCTCATTAAATAGACAACTAAAATGGGGACATAAAGCTTAACAAAGATTCGTTGGGATAATAAGTTTCTTTTAAGAAATATGGATTATAAACCCTTGGTATTTTTATATTCTGTAGTTTTTTAAAAAATATATATACATATTTATATATTTGAGACAGGGTCTTGCTCTGTCACCCAGGCTGGAGTGCAGTGGCATGATCACAGCTCACTGGAGCCGCAACCTTCCAAGCTCAAGTGATCCTCCTGCCTCAGCCTCCCAAGTAGCTGGAACTGCAGACACATGCCACCACACCTGGCAAATTAAAAAAAATTTTTTGTAGACATTCTTTAGTTTTAAATTCTCCAAAACATTACTAAGTCAGATTTAGACCTAGTACCCTAGATACTTCTTAATGCAGATGATGGCATTAATTATAACTAAGAACAGTTGATGGTTGTTCTGTTAAAGGAAATTTTAGTTAATGTAAGTGTGTCCTTCAAAAGTCAATGCAGCCTCATGATTATCTATAGTCATGAAAAATAAACTTTAAATTGACTCCGAATAAACTTCATTGGCCCATCTTTTCATTGGCCCATTATTTCCTCTTATTTCTGCTCATTTAAAAGAATGGCAATTTCTGAAATAAGGGATTTGGAAATGATATACTGAGGGATTAGGAGAAAGTATTATGACCTCTGGCTTTTCCCCAAACAGATCAATTTTATTTCTCTGACAGATGACAGTCACAGATGACTTTTACAAAGTGGGTCTTAGCTTTAGAAATTAATTTTTTTAATAGTTAAAATTTTTTTTTAGATAGGATCTTACTCTGTCGCTCATGTGGGAGTGTAGTGGCACGACCTCAGCTCACTGTAACCTCCCCTTCCCCCGCTCAAGCAATTCTGTCTCAGCCTCCTGAGTAGCTTGGACTACAGGCATGAGCCAAAAATACTTGGATACTTTTTGTGTTTTTCGTAAAGACAAGATTTCACCGGGTTGCCCAGGCTAGTCTCAAACGCCTGAGCTCAAAACAATCTGCCTGCCTTGGCCTCCCAGAGTGCTGGGATTACAGGCATGAGCCACCGCTCTCGGCTAGAAATTCTTTATTCTGGGTCTGTATACCTACAGATTATTACTTCCGCCATAATTTTTTCAAAAGGAGCATTTTATCTAGGAGCTTGGCAGAAGGAAGATGCTCTTTGGAAGTAGTGTCCCACAGTCATGTGTCTTTTTGAGTACCGCAGTGCACAAGGATGACACTGGGCCAGTGCTGAGTGCCCACCTGCAGGTGGAGGCCACCTTTATCCACAGCTGGACTAGGACAGATGCAGGAAATGTATAATGTATTATTATTTTCTCGAAAATGACGGCATTAAGGATAGAGAGAGGAGCTTTCCTGATGGATTCTAAATAAAATACTCTTATCTAGACCTATGGATGGCTAATAACTGATAGGTTATTCACTTGAGTCACCCAGAAAACAGACTAGGTTTTGACTAAAGCTTGATGAATTTCTTTTCTTTAAATACTGTTGTTTACTCCTTTTGGAGGAAGAGTTTGAATGTGCCTTCTTTACCTTACAGATCTCCAGTGAGGAAATATCAACCAAAAAGGAACAGTTATCGGAAACACTTCAAGCTATGCAGCTTTTTTTGGCAAAACATGGAGATAAGTATGTTGGTTGTCATTAGCTCTTTTATTCTAAGTGGGGAAGTGTTCTTAAAAGCTTTCAGCAAAACAGAGGTGGTAAATTTTCATTGCAATGTTAAAAATGGGACTCAGACTAATCACAATTTACTTAATATAGTAAAGAGTATCAACTTAGTAATTTGATTAATTGTCACTTTTAATCTTTCCTACAACTTTGAAATGTTCTTATTATCCCCATGGAAACAGGCTCAGAGCTTAAGAATTAATAGCAAGTGGGAGGTAGAGTACAGACTCCAAGTCAAGTCTTAAATCTAAGTAGTACTCTGTGAGATTTATTCTTTGGAAAATATTTATAAATATGGTCTTCATTTTCTTAGCTGAGACCTATGGCAGCTTCATTTCTCATATTTTATCCCTACTTTTTGCAACAAAGCACTTTGTATATTTCAATCAATGCTTCACTCAGGGAAGGAATCCACCTTTTTCTTAAACCTTTTTGGATGTCCTCCTTTGGATTATTTCACAATGACTTTATAGTACACCTTAGCAAATCAGGCTAATCCCCTTATAAATTTCCTCTTTATTTGTGCTTTAGTCTAAACAAGTTTCATCTTGAGAAATGGTACTGATGGAAACGGAAATCCCCTTTTACATGTTGGGATTAACAATGAGATCTTACCCTCTGTCAGATAGCAGCAATTGTTATTTTGGAAGTTTGTATGTTAAATAAGTGTCAATACATTAGTTTGCACCCTTTCCTTCAGTCCTTTTCTCAGGCAAGGGAAAGATCCTTAGATATTTTTAAGGCCATTCTTAATTTTTCTATAGTCATACTGAGACCGGAGCAATATGTATGTGAGACTATATTTTATTTTACGATAATGTGACAAAATTTTTGAACCTAATACATCATCTTTATTTCTTGAGGATGACTTGCATTAGTCTTTTTATCATTTCTGGTTATTTTAGAATGACAGATGAAGAAAGAAATGAATTGGAAAAACAAGTGAAAAGTCTTCAAGAAAGTTATAATTTATTATTCAGTGAATCTCTGAAACAGCTACAAGAATCACAAACCTCAGGAGATGTAAAGGTAGAGGAGAAGGTAATATTATTTATTTAAACATGAAGCTGTTTCAAGAAGCTTAGTTTGATTGCATGGCTCTGGAAATCTATGTCAATAATAAAGAAATGACCTTGAATTTTGTACGTAGTTAAAACATGGATTGAGTTTATTTAAATGTTTGGAGATTCCAGTGTTGTTTATAAAATGCAATCTTATACGTGCTGATCATCAGTTTCTGTGACATCTTAATCTCTGCCTTGCATGGTAAAAGAAAAAGATCATTCATTCTTCTAACTCTTCTCTTTAAAAGCCATTCTTCTGGTATAGTAGGTATTTTAATATGATAGGCTATAAAAGAGCCTGTGGGTCATCTCTAAAGGTGGCATTAATGTATTATAGAGTTTATTTGATTTTCAGAGATATCCATAAGATTTATTTGAGTACTACAAGGCCATACATTATAGTGAGGATGCCCTAGCATCTTCTTAAAGTGTAAATCATTTAAAATTTGACTGGTACTTAAACTTTTAAAACTTGACAGTGTATATCAACAGGCCTAACATAATATTCAGTATTGAAAAAGTTATCTTTATATTTAATTTCATTACTCCTGGGAATACTTTCCACATAATTTGTCACATTTTAGGGGTATGTAACAATTTTTCTAGTTTCTTAGTTTTTGACTATCTTTGAAGAAGTCTGTATGCTGTAAACATCAATAGCATGGGGTTTGATAATCTCTTTCATGCCACTAGACTCTAATCTCACCTAAATGCAGAAAGCATGGTTTGCCTTCTCGATATGTGTTCTGTTTTCTCACTATCATCATCTACTCTGTTGTGTCCTCACTAACCTTGTCAATATACACGATATTAAGTTTTCAATTCACAGATGCATGTTGTTTTCAAAGCTTTTATCACATCCTGTGCTGTTGAATAGATCACTGACATAGATCACTTGTGCATTTGAACTGCCTAACATTCACAACATTGCTGCGCCTTGGTAAGTAGAGGATTTTTATGTTGAAATGTATTATTTACTTTTTAAAAAACCTAACTTGCATGAAACTCCACCCACCCTTGTGTAACAGAGTGACCTGAGATTTTTGCATTTTCCTTTCAGCTGGATAAAGTGATTGCAGGCACTATCGATCAGACAACTGGAGAAGTCCTTTCAGTCTTTCAAGCGGTTTTAAGAGGCCTCATTGACTATGACACAGGAATTAGGTTGCTCGAGACACAGCTAATGATTTCTGGTCTAATTTCACCAGAATTAAGAAAGTCCTTTGAACTTAAAGATGCCAAAAGTCATGGCCTTATTGATGAACAAATTCTGTGCCAACTCAAAGAACTAAATAAAGCTAAGGAGATTATTTCTGCTGCGTCGCCTACCACAATTCCAGTACTGGATGCTCTGGCTCAAAGCATGATATCAGAATCCATGGCCATCAAAGTTCTTGAAATACTCCTTTCTACAGGCTCTCTGGTTATTCCAGCCACAGGAGAACAGTTGACCCTACAGAAGGCTTTCCAACAGAACTTGGTTTCCTCAGCATTATTTTCTAAAGTTCTGGAAAGACAAAATATGTGCAAAGATCTTATTGACCCCTGCACCTCTGAGAAGGTTTCTTTAATAGATATGGTACAAAGAAGTACTTTACAGGAAAACACGGGGATGTGGCTTCTACCTGTGAGACCACAAGAAGGAGGTAGAATAACATTAAAATGTGGAAGAAACTTAAGCATTTTAAGAGCAGCTCATGAAGGTCTCATAGATCGTGAAACCATGTTTAGGTTGTTAAGTGCACAGCTTCTTTCTGGAGGTCTGATCAATTCTAATTCTGGCCAAAGAATGACTGTTGAAGAAGCTGTCAGAGAAGGGGTGATTGACAGGGACACTGCTAGCAGTATCCTCACGTATCAGGTTCAAACTGGTGGAATCATCCAGTCAAACCCTGCCAAGCGTTTAACTGTAGACGAAGCAGTACAGTGTGATTTAATAACGTCCAGCAGTGCTCTTCTGGTACTGGAAGCTCAACGAGGCTATGTTGGACTCATTTGGCCCCATTCTGGTGAAATATTTCCCACATCATCTTCCTTGCAGCAAGAGTTGATTACAAATGAATTGGCCTACAAAATCCTGAATAGCAGGCAAAAAATAGCTGCTCTTTATATTCCAGAAAGTTCTCAGGTCATTGGTTTGGATGCTGCTAAACAGCTAGGAATTATAGACAATAACACAGCATCAATTTTAAAAAATATAATACTGCCTGATAAAATGCCAGATTTAGGAGATTTAGAAGCTTGTAAAAACGCCAGAAGATGGCTCTCTTTTTGTAAATTTCAACCCTCCACAGTTCATGATTACAGACAAGGAGACGATGTTTTTGATGGAGAAGAACCTGTCACTACTCAGACCTCAGAACAAACTAAAAAATTATTTCTATCTTATTTAATGATAAATAGCTATATGGATGCAAACACAGGGCAAAGGCTTTTGCTGTACGATGGAGACTTGGATGAGGCTGTTGGCATGCTACTGGAAGGCTGTCATGCAGAATTTGATGGAGATACAGCCATAAAAGAATGTCTCGATGTCTTAAGCTCCTCTGGTGTATTTCTTAATAATGCTTCAGGTAGAGAAAAGGATGAATGTACAACTGCACCAAGTAGTTTCAATAAATGTCACTGTGGAGAACCTGAACATGAAGAGACTCCTGAAAATAGAAAGTGTGCTGTAGATGAAGAATTTCATGAAATGGGAAATAATGTTATCAATAGTGAATTTTCTCAGTCAGAAAAACTGGCAAGTACAATATCAATTGATCCTAAAGTTAACAGTTCACCCAGTGTGTGTGTTCCCAGTCCCATATCATATTTAACACAGGCTGAACTTGCAGACATTAGCGTGCTTAGAAATGACTCTGAAAACATACTTACAAACTATGAAAATCAAAGCCAAGTGGAAACAAATGAACATGCAAGTGAATGTAGTCATTCTAAAAACATTCAAAACTTTCCAGGTGATTTGATAGAAAATCCTATTGTAAAATCAAAAATGAATAAATTCTGTGGTGTGAATGAAACAGAGAATGAAGATAATACAAACAGGGATTCGCCTATCTTTGACTATTCCCCCAGGCTAAGTGCCTTGTTAAGTCATGATAAATTGAGGCACCGTCAGGGAAGTTTTAATGATACACACACCCCAGAGAGCAATGGAAATAAGTGTGAAGCCCAAACGTTATCATTCAGTGACAAAACCATGTTATCAGGTCAAAGAATAGGAGAAAAATTTCAAGACCAGTTTCTGGGAATTGCGGCTATTAACATCAGTTTACCGGGAGAGCAGTGTGGACAGAAATCTTTAAATATGATTTCTAGTAATCCTCAAGTACAATGTCACAATGATAAATACATTTCAGATACTTCTGGTGAGGATGAGAAAACACATCCTGGTTTTCAGCAGATGCCTGAAGACAAGAAAAATGAGTCTGAAATAGAAGAGTATTCCTGTGCTGTGACTCCAGGGGGTTATACTGATAATGCCATTGTATCTCTTACCTCTGCTACACCATTGCTTGATGAAACCATCAGTGCTGGTGACTATGAAACGTCACTGCTGAATGATCAGCAGAATGACACAGGAACAGACACTGATAGTGATGATGATTTTTACGATACTCCCTTGTTTGAAGACGATGACCATGATTCTCTGCTTCTTGATGGTGATGATCATGATTGCCTGCACCCTGGGGACTATGACACACTGCAAGAGGAAAACGATGAGATGGCTTCTCCTGCTGATGTTTTTTATGATGTCTTAAAAGAGAACGAAAATTCCATGGTTCCCCAGGGGGCACTAGCTGGTAGCTTAAGTGAGAAGGGCAAAGCACAGTGTCGTCAGGATTTCCTCATGGATGTTGAGAAAGATGAATTAGATTCTGGTGAAAAAATACATTTAAATCCCGTTGGCTCAGATAAGGTGAATAGACAGTCGCTGGAAACTGGATCAGAAAGGGAATGCACAAATATCCTTGAAGGAGATGAATCTGACTCATTGACTGATTATGATATTGTAGGAGGAAAAGAGAGCTTCACTGCATCATTAAAATTTGATGACAATGGCAGTTGGAGAGTAAGAAAGGAAGAGTATGTAACTGTACAGGAATTTCACTCTGATACTGATCATTTAGATTCTATGCAAAGTGAAGAAAGTTATGGGGATTATATATATGACAGTAATGATCAGGATGATGATGATAATGATGGCATTGATGAAGAAGGAGGATGTATAAGAGACGAGAATGGAAAGCACAGGTGCCAAAATGTGGCTGAAGATACGGATATCCAATTGTGTGCCTCTATTGTAAATGAAAACAGTGATGAAAATAAAAATATTAATAAAATGATTCTTCTGGATAAAATGCACAGTTGTAGCTCTTTAGAAAAACAGCAAAGGGTAAATGTTGTACAGCTAGCATCACCTAGTGAAAGTAGCTTAGCTACTGAAGAAAGCAACCTTCCAGAATATACAATTGAGATTGTTGGAAAAAGCAAAGAAAATCTGTTGAATCATGAGATGGTACTTAAGGATTTATTGCTGCCTATCATTAAAGACACTGAATGTGAAAAAACTTTTGGCCCTGCCAGTATTTCACATAATAATAATATCAGTTCAACTTCTGAATTAGGTAATGATCTGGCAAACACAAAGGTTAAGTTGATTCAAGGGTCAGAATTGCCAGAATTGACTGATTCTGTGAAAGGTAAAGATCAATATTTTAAGAATATGGCACCAAAAATTGACTCATCTCTTGATCACATCATATGTACTGAGCCTGATTTGATGGGAAAACCTGCTGAGGAAAGCCATTTGTCATCGATAGCCTCTGTAACTGACAAAGATCCTCAAGGAAATGGAAGCGATCTCATTAAAGGGAGAGATGGCAAAAGTGATATTCTAATAGAAGATGAAACATCAATTCAGAAAATGTACTTGGGTGAAGGAGAAGTGCTTGTAGAAGGTCTAGTAGAAGA